TGCACCATAAAGAAAGAGAAATGCTGGCAATTAACTATGTTAATTAACTCGGCTATTCCTCTGATTGTAAGTCATATTCCAATTTGAGGAATGTTAAAATATGAAAAATATGCCTTAGGCTCAATGGAATATATTATAAAAGCAATGACTGCTTTTAAACACATCCTAGGGAAAGAAGATTTTATAAATATCCATCTGTTAATAATAACAGAGTTCACTAAACACTTACCCTGTGGCAGGTACTGTTTTAAAGTGCTTTTCATCCATGATTTTATATCAGGGCTTGGCAAAACATTTCCTGTAAAGGGACAGAGGTAAATATTTTAGGCTTTGTGAGCCAGACAGGGGCAGAGCTACTTACCTCCCATTGTAATGTGAAACCAGCCACAGAGATTACTACCAATGGGTATGGCTGAGTCTTAATAAAACTTTATTTATAAACACTGAAATCTGAATTTCATAGAATTTTCACATGTCACAATAATATTCTTCTTTTGAATTTTCCCCCAACCACTTAAAATATAAAAACCATTCTTAGCTTGTGAGTTGTAAAAAGAGAGGGAGTTGGCTAGATTTGGCTCATGGGCTGTAGTTTGTTGACCCCTGTCTCTGACCTTCACATCAGCCCTACAAGATAGATCCTAGTATTATCCTCATTTTCTACACGAGGAAACTGAGTCTCAGAGAGGTAAAGTAACTTGTCCAAGGACACACAGCTGGTGAGTGGTCAAGCTGGGATTCTGACCCAGACATTCTTAGCTCCGTCATTTGCTTTTATCAAGTTCCCCTAAATACAATAAATATGATTTATCCCAAATATGGTTGCCTTTTAATATATTTAGCTTTCCCCCTGATTACAAAAGTTCCACATCTGTGCTGAAAAATCCAATCATACAGAGTTACAAAGAAGAAAATGAAAGTAACCCCAGCCTACAGAGATAAACACTTGCAAGTCTGCACACACAGCTCCCACAATGCTGACTGGATTTAGAATGTTCTGGACACTGTGTGACTTTGGATACATTGCCCAACCTCTCTGGGTCCTTGTTTCTCAAATGAGGGGGCTGGCTGAGGTGACGCAGCTCCACAGCCCCCGCCCCAACCCCTAGTCCTGAACATGGAGCTCTGTTTGCAAGGATTGTGTAATAGCAGCTGGTTCCGTCCTAACTGCCTGGGTGTGGAGGGTGAAGTCACCCCTTGCCAGCCCCTTAAGATGGGCCAAGTGGCTGCTGAGGCTCGCTGCCCCAAATCCCAAGCCCTGAGTGACTTCAGAGAGGAAGCAGGGACATCAGGGCCTGAGCTGGGGGTTCTAGGAGGCCCAGGCTCTCTAGGACTGACGCCAGGGACCACTCTGCCTGGTGAGCAGAGCTCCAGGTGAGCTGGGACTCAGACATTCCTGCAGAGCTGCCTGGAACGGACCTGCGGCAGGCGTGGAGGCCTTAACAGACTGGGGCTCCTACGGCGGCATGCCTGGGCCCTGCTCTGCTCTGTGTCTCCATTAGACAGGCGTGGGTTTGGATCTGCATCTGGTGATCACCAGGCGTGTCACTTTGAGCACAGTCCCCTCTCTGAGCTGTCTCCTTGCCTGTCAAATGGGGATAACAACCACCTCACAGGATCATTGATTCGTTCGTGAGCTGATACCTGTAATGCAGCCGGCACAGGGGAGAGGTTTTATAAATGGCCATTTCTGTCCCAGTCTCTTCTTCCTACACTTTTCAACGGCACCTTTAAAAAGTCCATCCATCAGGCCACAAATTGTGGACCTACTATGTGCCGGCCATGGCCTCTAAAATAAGTAGGGTGGAGAGGTCAAAGATGAGAAAAACAACACTCCCTGCCCTAGGAAAACTCAGGGAGGGTAAGATAAGGACCCAAGAGATGTTTACACAATCGGAAAGTTCGGACAAAGTCCTACAGGGCTCAGGGGCAGAAGCTGGAGCAACCAAAGAGGTTTCATGAAGATGGTATTTTAGCTGGGACTTGGAGGGGGAAAGCATCTTGGCAGGGAGAGGGGGAGTAGTGGGACACAGGTGCGAGGGTAGGAAAGGATGAGAAACACGCCCAGGAGTTTGCCTAGAACACAACAGGAGAGCCCATGAGAGCAGTGAAGGCGGGGCCAGACAGAGGGGCGGGGCCCAATGGTGGTGGGAAAGGGAGCGTTAGGAAGGGTACCAGCCATCATATAGCGCAGGGGCATGGGAAAAGGGCTGTGGCTTCTGGAAGAGTACACGAGTGGTGGGAGCCAGCTCCCCCTCCTGAGAGCATCCCTTCCAGATGTGAACCACACCAGGTACTTCCTCACACCTGGTCTTACTTAGTCCTCGATGGCGATGAGTCCCAGTTAACAAAGGAGGAAACCAAGGCTCAGAAATGTTAAGCCACTTGCCCGGGGTCACAGAGCAGACAGTGAGCTGGGACCACTTTGACTGTCATCTGTGGGAACGCCACCCTTTCTCCTCCTGTGACCCCAGGACAGGTCCAAAGTCGACTTTGAGGGCAGGATTCAGACAGGGACGGTAGGGTAATGCCAACTCTGGCTACACTGAGTCTCCCCACTGCCTCTAGAAGTACTTGTTTTTATCGCCATCACAAGTAGGAGGGAGTGGGGGCTCAGGAGGGGAAGTGATTACTCAAGTCCATACACTAAGGGTGAGGAATCCAGCCTAGGCCTTCTCACTGCCCCACACTGCCTCCAGGTTTGCGCCTAAGCACATCTAAAATCAGGATGAGGAAAGGCCAGGTTCTCTCCCCTGAGTCCCCATCCATTGAACGATGCTCTTTGGTGCCCCTCTGTCCGACAGGCCCACAATTCCAGCCCCTTGCTTCTTCTGCAGTCACCACAGACCAGATTATGCTGAGCCTCTCTTTGGCTCCATCTCCAGCCAGAGGTAGCATCTCTGCTCCCTGGATGAGAGGCCTGGGTGGCTACAATTTGACCACCAGAGCCTCTAACCTGAGCCAATGTGCGTCGACTGGTCTTAAGGAGGGACTTCACCCTGGGCTGGACCTCTGTACGAACCACACCTACTAGTATCCACACCTACTAGCATCTTGAGGTGACCTTCTCCCCAGGTTCCGGTGCCAGCTCCTGAAACACACAGTGGCATGATGATATAAGGGCTGCATGCTGGGAAGGGGAAAACCAAGAGACTTAGTGAATCATAACGGGAAGGGGTGGGTGGTCCCTTACACCCATCATCTCTAACCTGGATCTCAAACCATCCGCAAAGTAGGCGGCTGGAAACGCATCGTATAGGTGCAGGCTTAGAGGCTCCGTAGAGGGAGAGATTCACCTACGATCCCCCAGCAGCAAAATGAGAGCATGAGGGTCGAGCTATGCTCTTTCCAGAAAGGGATAAAGAAGAAAAACCCACAGAGCTCAGCAGATACCTGACTCCAGGGCCAGACTGTGTCACTACCACTGTAATAATTTGTTTAAAAAAAATGTGGGTAGGGGGAGGTATAATGAATGCTCTTAGGTTAAAAAAAAAAAAAAACCAGGGCAGATCGAGTTGGTATGCTGTGAAAAGTCAGCAGCTGTAACATTTTATGATTCAATGCATAAAGTATGTTGAGTTCCCCAGCTGAATAAGTAGTACAAATAATTTTTTTCTTTTTTAAAAAAGATACAGGGAGGGTGTTGTCATTATCTAAGGATCTCCTTGCTGTCCTCAGTCAGTGTTCATCTGAAGGCAGAAAACACCCTTTAAAAAAAAACACAACTCTATCTAGAATTTAGACAGAAAGTTTGAGCATATGCGAACACAGAAGCTTAGAAAGTCAAATGCAGAAGTTGCCTCTGATGATACAATCCACAGATCAACGACGCAGGGTGGCAGTGAAATCCCCCCTCCACCCTCCCTCCCAAGGAGAGGGGAAGAAACCACAGAATGTTCCTGACTCGGCACCCCAGCCCGGTGGCGCAATGTTTATGTTTGTGTACCTAGCGCGTCGGTGCCGCAGTCACCGCCGCCCGGTAGGGCGGGGGGTGGGGGAGCGGCGAGAGTAGGGGGAGGGAAGGGGAGGGGGCGTCACTAGGGCTTGGGACGAGGGTGACCTCCTGGGGGTCTTCCCAACCCTTTGTCAAGGTCCTCGAAATCCTCTTAAAGCGCCGTAGGGCTGGATTTCGAGTTCAGCCCATACAGATGGCGAGAACCAGGGCGTGGGAGCTGAATTCGGCTCCTCTTCCCAGTTGGAGCCCCCGAGTCCAGAGCATAATAGGCGCTCAATCAGTACGTATTTGTGAAACAGAGATGGAGCAGCACGATGGGTCTTAAGTGAAAAGGATCAGAAACATGTCTGGCGGCCCCTGGGAGGCGCTGTCGAGCCGCGCTGGGGGTTGCCTCCCTAAACGCCGAACCCCACAATCCACAACCGCACCTTGCCACCCCCCCAATACTGATTTCAGCCCCCTGACCTGCCTTCCTCGGCTCACAGTCGTCTAGGGACCACATGACAAAGAATGGTATTTTTCCGCTTGGGGTTTGATTGGAAGGCATCTTGCTTGTTAAATACACTTTATTTTCAAGTAACAAGAGAGGAAGTCTGGGGAACAGGAAGATATTTCCCTGAACACCTCCACCCCAACTCGCTCCGGCTTTTCTTGAGTGGGTAAACTCGTTAATTTTTCTCTGCCCTTCATTTCAGGCCCCTCTCTCCTCCCAACCCCAGCAGTGCAATGCTGGGCAAGTAAATCGCTTATCCTTGGGAACCTGGTTCCTCGCCTCCTCTCTTCGGGGACAAGGAAATGAGAGCTGGGGCCCAAGTGTTTGCAAAAACGCAGGAAACCCCTTTCCGCTCGGATCGGAGGCGGAGGGGGCGCGGGGCTGGGGCATGGTGGAGAGGGAGGGGGGGCCGGTGGCACGCGGCCCGCTTTCCCAGCCGCTCGCACCCGGCTCGGCCCTCGACTGGCAGCGCGCCTTCCCCCTCTCCTCCCAGCTGGATCCGGA